AGTAACTAAGCCTGAGCCCGCGCAAATCAAACTTAAATCAATCAAAGTCTTTGTAACTGCGTCATATAGTTTTTATCCAATCCTGTGTGCACAAGTTTATAAAGCCACCCCACCCCTTCAGAATTATGTATAAAAGGTGTGTGTTAGCCTGGGTGGGGTCTCTGGTCCCTGAAGCTGCTGCGTGCTGCGTCACCTTCATTTGTGAGCCCAGACTTGAGCCTGAATAAAGACCCTCGTGTGTTTGCATCGGAGCTGGCTCTTTGGTGGTGTCTCGGATTTTGAATTTTGGGTTTAACAAGCAGAAATAAGGCGGAAATCAGGGGTGGTGTTGAACACATGTATCAGTCTAGGAGCAAGCAGAAAAGCAACAACTTTGTTGCTACAAGTTTGGTAACAGAATCTCGTATCCATCATGGGTGGTGACCAAGTATAAGTTGTTTGTGGAGGTGAATTACATATTGGGCTGTGATCAATGACCAGTAAAGGATCACATGGAGGCTGTCCAAGGGGAGTCATGCAATAATAATGAGCAATTAATTATTTCTGATATTATATCAAAATATTCAATCCAACCAGACTGGGCAACATGCTGAGACCCCATCTCTGCACAAAATTTAAAAATTAACTGGGTATGGTGGGACACTCTTGCAGTCCCAGCTATTCAGGAGGCCGAGGCAGAAGGATGGCCTGAGCCCAGGAAGTCGAGGCTGCGGTGAGCTGTGATCATGCCACTGCACTCCAGCCTGGGCTACAGAGTGGGAAAAAAAAAAAAAAGATTCCATCCAAAGGACAGTTTGAACGCAGTTACTTTTGTGTTGTGTTTGGTTTAGTTGCTCTTGTGGGAAGAGAGAGCCAGAGGATTCTGTGTGCATCTGTGTTTGGGCTGTCGTGTTATCTGTAGCTATGTATTTATTTATTTTCCTTTGGCTTCAAAGGAATTCCTTGGTGTTACAGGAAATATGTGTATTGCATAAAAACCATTGCTTCTGGAAATATGCAGTTGATAGCATATGTAAATAAATTTTTTCTTCTTTTTTGAGTTGGAGTCTCACTCCATTGCCCAGACTGGAGTGCAGCGGCTGCTCCCGGTCACTGCAGCCTTGACCTGCTGGGCTCCGGCGATCCTTTTGCTTCAGCCTTTCAAGTAGCCGGAATTACAGGCATGCGCTTCCACGCTCGGGTGATTTTTTTTTTTTTTTTTTTAATTGTAGAGATGAGGTCTCGCCAAGTTGCCCAGGCGGTTCTCGAACCTGCGGGCTCAGGCAATCCGCTCACCTCAGCCTCCCAAAGCGCAGGATCACAGGCTGAGCCACCGAACCCGGCTAGGGTTTTCCTTTTTCGAGCTGCCCCCGCACCCCCGGCGCCCCTGGTGCAGGCCGCGCGCGCCCTCTGCCGACATAGGGAAGGAGCGCGCCGAGCGTGAACGCTTCCGGCCCGAGGGCGGGCGAAGATTTCTCCGGCCTATAGAGGACGCCCGTCGGCGCGCAGAGTAGCCTACCCTGGATGTCCCTTACGGAAGCACTTCCGGTCTGCTCTCGACGCTCCCTCCGGTCTCGGCTCGAGAGGTTCCTAAAGTTTTCCGTCGACCGTAAACGGAAGGGACGTGCGCCGACCCGGAAGTGAAAGCCGGAACCCGGGCCCGAGGGACCCAGAGCGCCGGCCGGGAGGAAGGAGGCCGGGGAGAGCCGTAGCTATGGCTGTGGCCGTGGCCCCGGCGGGAGCAGGCTTCGGATTCGAGCCGGGGCCCGCGGAAGAACTCGCCAAGCTCGAGTATCTGTCCCTGGTGTCGAAGGTCTGCACAGAGCTGGACAATCACTTGGGGATCAACGACAAGGACCTGGGTGAGCCGGGAGGGGACCGAGAGAAGCGGAAGGCGCAGGAGGTCGATGGGCCGCTGCGTGTCGGTGCGAGTCCGGGTCTCTCGGGCGCAGACACCGGGCCGGGAGGCCCGCGGCGTGGCCTCTGCTCGAGGTCCCCCAGGTCGAGCTGTTCTTGGAAACGAGCTGTCCGCGAAGCCCGGGACGGTCCCCTCTGCTGGGCTTAAACATCTTTAACAGCAACAGCAGCTGCCTCCGCAGCGGCGGCGACGACGACGGCGATGATTGACCGTTGTCGGCTCCTTTGTTTACACGCTGGTATTTGATCTTTGCGGGCAGCGTCTGTGCTTTTTAAAGTGCGTTCTTGGCTTTTCATGCGGTGCAGTCTTTTTTTTTTTAAAGAGTTACGGTCTCAGTCTGTTGCCCAGGCTGGAGTGCAGTGGCACGATCTCGCCTCACCGCAGCCTCGACCTCCCTAGCTCAGGCGATCCTCCTGCCTTAGCCTCTCGAGTAGCTGGGACTACACCGGCCTGCCACTACGCCTGGCAACTTATTTTATTTTTTGTAGAGGCGAGCTCTCGCTATGTTGCCTAGGCTTGTCTTGAACTCCTGAGCTCAAGCAATCCTCCTGCCTCGGCCTCCCAAAGTGTTGGGATTACAGGGTGTCTTTCTCTCTCTCTCTCTCTCTTTTTTTTTGAGTGAGACTCTCACTGTCGCGCAGACTGCAGTGGCACACTCAAGGACACTGCAACCTCAACCTGCTGGGCTCAGGTACTCCTTCTGCCGTAGCCTTCCAATTGGCTGGAACCACAGACTCCGCCACCACATCCAACTAATTTTTTGATTTATTGTAGAGAAAGGTCTCACCGTGTTGTCCAGGCTGGTCTCCAGCCTCTGGACTCAGGCAATCCTCTCGCCTCCACTTCCCAAAGTGCTGGGATTACAAGCGTGAGCCACCATGCCCGGCTTGTTCTGTCTCTTAAGATAAAACCAGTCACTCCTCGTTTTGGAGCAAGCAACATCTAGGGAACCCAAACCGAGGAGCTGGAAAAGGCTTGGACCCTAGAGCAAAAGCTATAGGCAGATGGTGTCTCATGAAAGTAAAAGCGGATGAGTTGAAGGGATGGACTTAGCTAGGTCCTGCGTTGCTTCGTCTAGTGTGACAGGAAGGAGGGCAGAGAATCTGGGCACAGATGCAGATGGTTTCAGAGGTGAGCAGGAGAGTTACATGTAACTCTTTTGTTTTCTAAATCATCAATTGGAGAGATGGAAGAGGAGGGGTCGGGGAGGTTAGATGTGTGACCCTGGGTAGGGAGCTTAGTTCCTCTGAAACTGTTTTTCTCACCTGTGAAGTGGATGATGGTGTCTTCAGAGGGTTACCAGATAGCACTTAGGACGAAATCCTGCAGCCAGTTTATCTTAGCTCACTTTTTTCTTGCCTCCCAATTGAGAGGTGCCTGTCCTGTATAATTTCTCTTCAGCCTTTTCCTCTTGTTTTTTTTTTTAGACAGCAGGATTTATTGAGAGGACAGAAAAGCTCCCACAGTGGGGACCCGAAGGGGTTACCCCAGTCTCCTCCTCTTTTAGTTGATAATATGGTGGTAATCTTGCCAGTTTTGCCATCTGGGTAATACGTTTACTTCATTTAGCAAATATTGAGCTGGGAGTCTGGGAATACAGCAGAGAAAAGACAGGTTCCTGCTGGTGGGAAGTCTGCATTTCTTTCTACTTTTGTTTTGACTCCTAATACCTTGGTCTTTTTTAGAGGAAACAAAAACTGTTGGGCACATTATGTACAAAATTAAAATGAAGTGTAAACTCCATATTCTTTTAGTTTATATGCAACTGTAGATCCCAGTTAATTTGCAAAGAAATGACCATTTTTTTCTGTTACATACAGAACTGCAAAACCAATTATATTAAAAATACTAGCATGAACTTATTTTTATTTACTTGAATTGGAGTCTCACTCTGTCTCCCAGGCTGGAGTGCAGTGGCATGCAATCTGCTGGGCTCAGGTGGTCCTTATGCCTCAGCCTTCCAGGTAGCTAGAACTACAGGCGTGTGACACCACGCCCAGCTAATTTTTTTATTTATTGTCGGACAGAGATGAGGTCTCACCAAGTTGCCCAGGCTGGTCTTGAACCCATGGACTCAGACGATCCTCTCACCTCGGCCTCCCAAAGTGCTGGGATTATAGGCATGAGCCACCAGGCCCTGCCCCAAATGTTTATTTTTATGAAGAAGGTGTCGGGGCCAGGCACGGTGGCTCATACCTGTAATTCTAGCACGTAGGGAGGCAGATTTGTGGAGAAAAGTTTGGGGTGCAAGCAAGTCTTTCATCAACTTGCAGATTGTACCTCCTGGCAACTGCCCAGCCCCCGTGTATAGGTTGGGTCTGTTCTTCCAGAAACTGTGTATGCATGGGCTCATGCTTTTGTACATTGTCACCTTTTGAGTCTAGGTGGCATTGTGCCCAGCTAGTAGTTTTGTGAGAAGAGAGCATGAGCATCTGGGGCAAGTAGATCTTTCTAGTTTAAATGCACTCAAGGGCCAGGTTGAGCCATTTGTAATAATATTTTCTTTTCATTTATAAAAATCTATAAGAATATTCAGGAAGCTGCTTAATCAAAACTTTCTTTCCCCTTAGCAGATGGTGGTCTTTGGTTTTTATAACTGTTGGGTAGCCTAATTAGTTTTGTTTTCAACATAATTAAAACTGATTTCTGCCGGGCTCGGTGGCTCAGCCTGTAATCCCGTGCCTTGAGAGGCTGAGGTGAGTGGATTGCCTGAACCCACGGGTTCGAGTCCCATCTGGGCAACTTGGTGAGACCTCATCTCTACAATAAATCAAAAAATTAGCCGGGTGTGGTAGTACGTGCCTGTTGTTCCAGCTACTTGGAAGGCTGAGGCGGAAGCATCACCAGAGCCCAGGAGGTCGAGGCTGCTGTGGCCGGGAACAGCTACTGCACTCCAGTCTGGGCGACAGAGTGAGACTCCAACACACACACACAAAAAGAAACTGATTTCTTGCTCAAGCCTCCATTCTTGTTTTAATTCCTTTTCTTTTTTGCAGCTGAGTTTGTGATCAGTCTTGCTGAGAAAAATACAACATTTGATACTTTCAAGTCTTCTCTGGTGAAAAATGGTGCAGAATTCACGGTATGTATATCTGCAGGAGACTTTACTTTTTATGTAGTAATATTTTAATGCCACTATTGAATTTTAATTTTGATGAGGTTTTTTTTTTTTTTTTGTTTTGTTTTTTTGAGTTGGAGTCTCACTTTGCCACCCAGACTGGAGTGCAGTGGCCGCTCCCGGCCACCGCAGCCTCGACCTGCTGGGCTCCGGCGATCCTTCCACCTCAGCCTTCCAAGTAGCTGGAACTACAGGCACGCACTACCACACCCGGCTCATTTTGATTTATTGTAGAGATGAGGTCTCGCCAAGTAGCCCAGGCGGGTCTCGAACCCGCAGGCTAAGGCAATCCACTCACCTCAGCCTCCCAAAGGTGTGGGATTACAGGCTGAGCCACCGAGCTCGGCTTCATCAGATTTAATATAGGATTTTGATATAGGAAGAAGACAATTTGTACATACTTGCTAAAAAAGCCATTAAGTGTGCAATGGCATTAAGTAGTGGTAATATGAATGGAATGTGTGACACCTTTCTGGGAAAACAGGGCAGGTCTCTCATCATTGAGTTTGTTTTTTGTTTTGTTTTGTTTTAGTTGAGTCTTAACTGTCGCCCAGGCTAGAGGGCATTGGCACACTCACAGCCAGTGTAGCCTCGACCTGCTCGGCTCAGGCAATCCTTCCGCTTCAGCCTTCCAGATAGCTGGAACTACAGGCACACACCACCATACCTGGATAATTTTTAGATTTCTTGTAGAGATGAGGTTTTGCCATGTTGCCCAGGCTGGTCTTGAACCCCTGGACTCAGGTAGTCCTCTTGCCTTAGCCTCCCACAGTGCTGGGATTACAGGGTTGAGCCACTGCGTCCTGGCACATTACATTTTTATAGGTATTTGCATGCTTTTTCTATGAGTCAGGAAGTGGGATGCAAGAGTCTAGGATTTAAATTGTGAGAAAGAAAATGGTTGCAGGGAGCTAAATAGATTTTTTCCCCAAAGATAATACCAGCCTTCTCTGAAGTTGCTGTGCTGGGTTCATGCTACAGCAGGTTGGCACTCGATGTTCCACTTATTCCAGTGAGCTAAATTCGGGTGCATAGCCACCCTTCTTGAGAAGGCATTCTTTGCCTCTTCCCTTTTCATTTTTATTTTTTTTGAGTTGGAGTCTCACTTTGTCGCCCAGGCTAGAGTGCAATGGCATGCTCATGGCCACTGCAGCCTCTAGCTTCTGGGCTCAAGTGATCATTCAGCCTCAGCCTCCCAAGTAGCTGGAACTATAGGCATGCACCACCATGCCTGGCTAATTTTATTTATTTATTTATTTGTTGTGGAGATGAGGTCTTGCCAAATTGCCCAAGCTGGTCTTGAACCCCTGGGCTCAGGCAATCTTCTCGCGTTGGCCTCCCAAAGTGATAGTATTACAGGCGTGAGCCACAATGTTTAACCCCGCTTCCTTTTTCTTTTTTTTTTTTTTGAGTTGGAGTCTCACTCTATCACCCAGACTGGAGTGCAGTGGCTGCTCCCGACCACTGCAGCCTTGACCTGCTGGGCTCCGGCGATCCTTCCACCTCAGCCTTCTGAGTAGCCAGAATTACACGTGCGTGCTACCACGCCTGGCTAATTTTTTGATTTATTGTAGAGATGAGATCTCGTCAAGTTGCCCAGGCGGGTCTCAAACCTGTGGACTCAGGCAATCCACTCACCTCGGCCTCCCAAAGCGCGGGATGACAGCCTGAGCCACCGAGCCCGGCTTCTTTTTTTTTTTTGAGTTGGAGTCTCACTCTGTCATCCAGGCTGGAGGGCAGTGGCATGCTCCCAGCCACTGCAGCCTCAACCTGTTGGTCTCCGGTGATCCTTCCGCCTCAGCCTTCCAAGTAGCTGGAACTACAGGTGAGCGCTTCCACGCCCAGCTATTTTTTGATTTATTGTAGAGATGAGGTCTCACCAAGTTGCCCAGGCGGGTCTCGAACCCATGGGCTCAGGCAATCCACTCACCTCAGCCTCCCAAAGGTGCGGGATTACAGGCTGAGCCACTGAACCCGGCTTTTTTTTTTTTTTAAAGCAGGATTTATTAAGAGGACAGAAAAGCTCCCACAGTAGGAGGGGACCCGAAGGGGTTGCCCCCCTCTTCCCTTTTCTAAGTGTATTTAATAGTACTGATCCAGGGGCTGACAATTGTTGTTCTGTTTTTCTTTTCAAAGGATTCTCTTATTAGTAACTTGCTGCGTCTCATACAAACCATGCGGCCTCCGGCAAAGCCTTCGACTAGCAAAGGTGAGCAGAGCCTCCATCTGGGCTTCCAGAATGGTTTAGATTGTGAGCATCCCATAAATGGTGTTTGTTTTCTTCTCAGTAGTTGCAGAGCAAGTAAATGTCCTAGTGAAAGTTTTCAAATTACTCAAGATGAAATTGAAATTATAAGACATAACCAAATGAATATTGATACGCCCCCCCCCTGCATGTCCAGATAGTTTGTTGAGGACTTTGTGCTCAATATTTTTAGAAAATTAGAGTACATTTGTAGTAACATGTATGGTTAATGAGAAGGAAAATGCTGTATTTTGTTTCAGGTTGATACAAACCTAATATTGAAGTTATTTGTTAGCCACTAATACTGAATATATCTTTTTTCAACTTCTTCACGCTGTTTAATGAAACAAGATCCAGTTGTTAAACCTAAAACGGAAAAAGAAAAACTGAAGGAACTCTTCCCAGTCCTTTGCCAACCAGACAACCCTTCCGTCCGGGTACTGAGATCATTCTGAGAATATCTCCTAAAACTGTGTGTCTTCCCCCCACCCCTTTTCTTTGTCTCATTAGCGATTTTGTTAATTTTCAGTTTGTCTTCATTGTAACTTGTTTTTCAGAACTAGTGTTTGCTCTCTCCCTGAGCGTGTGCTGTGTCTAGAATAGTGTTCAGGGGTTCTGAGAATGCTGTTCAAGGGAAATGAGATGGGGAATTTGGGGAAGTGGTAATTGGGGAGATGACCGAGATATGGAATAATTGAAGGCCCTGAAACAGATGCCTGAGGGATGCAATGAAATGTTTTTCCTCCATTACATATTAGAAGGTTTTGGTTGTTTTTTGTTTTGTTTTGTTTTGTTTTTGAGTTGGAGCCTCACTCTGCCGCCCAGGCTAGAGTGCAGTGGCATGCTCACAACCACCACAGCCTCAGCCTGCTGGACTCAGGCAATCCTTCCACCTCAGCCTTCCAAGTAGCTGGAACTACAAGCGTGCGCCACCATGCCCAGTTAATTTTTTTTTTTTTGAGTTGGAGTCTCACTCTGTCACCCAGACTGGAGTGCAGTGGCCACTCCTGGCCACCACAGCCTCGACCTGCTGGGCTCCGGCGATCCTTCCGCCTCAGCCTTCCGAGTAGCCGGAATTCCAGGCATGCGCTACCACGCCCGGCTGATTTTTTGATTTATTGTAGAGATGAGGTCTCGCTGCCCAGGCGGGTCTCAAACCCGTGGGCTCAGGCAATCCACTCACCTCAGCCTCCCAAAGGCGCAGGATTACAGGCTGAGCCACCGAGCCCGGCTTAATTTTTTAAAAATTTTTTGTAGAGATGGCATCTTGCCAAGTTGCCCAGGCTGGTCTTGATCCCTGGGCTCAGGTAATTCTCTCGCCTCCGCCTCCCAAAGTGCAGGGATTATAGGCATGAGCCACTGCACCTGGCAGAAGGTCTTATTTTTAAAGTGTTTTGGTTTTTAAATTTTATCTTAGCAAATATTTGAGTATTTATTGTATGTCAAACACTATTCTGAGTATCTGGGTTACAGTAGTGAATAAAACAGACAAGTGTTTCTGCTTATGGAGCTAATCTCCTAGTGTTGAGTGGGAGTAGGGAGTAAACTTGTCAACAGTCTAGTGGGGAAGAGATAGGCAGAAGACAGACACGTTAGCAAGTACAAAGCATAGCAGGTAGCGATGAAGGCTGTGGAAAAATGAAAGGGAATGGGGGAAGGGAGGGCAAGGGGTTGCTTTTTAAAAATTTTGGCATGTTTTCTAGTTCTGATTGTCACTTGCATCCTTTCACGGGAGAGATGATATCTAATCGCCTTCCATAGAATTGTGTTAAGGACAAAGAGGGTTTGCCAAATGTAGTGATGTCTCTCAAGAGCCTTTGCCCATTTCTTCCATATTTGTCTCTAATCGTGGTGGAAATACGCTCTCTGCCTCCGTCGCATGAGCGATTAGTGCTCTGTACATGCAGATTCTCGAGTGGTATGCCCATCTCCTAACTCTGCATGTCTCTGCCCCGGTAGACCATGCTGGACGAGGATGATGTGAAAGTCGCTGTGGATGTCCTGAAGGAACTGGAAGCTTTGATGCCCAGTGCAGCAGGCCAGGGAAAGCAACGAGACACTGAGCACCGGTTTGTCCTTAGGGTCCTGTCCTCTGGACATTTAGCAGAATGATAGTTGAATTTTGTGAACCAGCCAAGCAAAATCTTGGACAAGTTAATGGAATCTGGACTGACCGCAGACCACATTCTTGGGTCTATTTCCATTGCTCCCTGCTAAGAGTATGCAGCAAATGCTCAAGTTCAGAAGATAAAAGTCAGGGTTGATAAAGACTGAATATGTTTGTGACTTGATTCTTTATCGGCCTACAGGGATATCTTAGTTATTGAAACTCCAGGCCATGAAGTGACTCACTGTAAGCCCAGCATTTAGGAAGGCTGAGGTGGAGGATTGCTTGATCCTAGGAATTCAAGACCAGCCCGGGCAGCATAGTAAGACTTTGTCTCTATAAAAAAATCAAAAAATTAGCCAGACATGGTGTCATGTACCTGTAGTCCCAGCTACTCGGGAGGCTGAGGAGGGAGGATTGCTTGAGCCTAGGAATTTGAGGCTGGTGAGCAGTGATTGTGCCATTCCACTCCAGCCTGGGTGACAGAGTGAGACCCCCAACTAAAAAAAAAAATTTTTTTGAGTCGGAGTCTCACTCTGTCACCCAGGCTGGAGGGCAGTGGCATGCAACCCAGCCACCGCAACCTCGACCTGCTGGGCTCTGGGGATCCATTCCCCTCAGCCTTCCAAATAGCCGGAACTACAGGCACGCGCTACTACACCCGGCTGGTTTTTTTTATTTATTGTAGAGATAAGGTCTCGCCAAGTTGCCTGGGTGGATCTCGAACCTTGTGGACTCAGGCAATCCACTTGCCTTGGCCTCCCAAAGTGCTGGGATTACAGGCTGAGCCACCAAGCCCGGCCTAGAAAAATTTTTAGAAAAGGAAACTCCAGTTTAGCAGTTGGTGGGCACCTATTATGTGCATGGCACTGTCCTGGGTCCTGGGTGTTTGGGAATGCAAAGATGGACTTGGGCTGGTTTCTTTTTCAAACAGGTGCTTGTTGATTTTAGGGACAGGACAAAGAAGAAGAAGCGGAGTCGGAGCCGAGATCGAGACAGAGAGCGAAATCGAGATCGAGATCACAAGCGGAGACATCGTTCTCGTTCTCGGTCACATTCCAGAACCCAGGAGAGAAATAAAGGGAAATCTAGATATCGGTCCAGGAGCAGGAGTCAGAGTCCCCCCAAAGACCGGAAGGACCGCGACAAATATGGGGAGAGGAATCTGGACAGATGGCGGGATAAGCATGTGGACCGTCCTCCCCCTGAAGAGCCTGCCATTGGGGACATTTACAATGGCAAAGTTACCAGCATCATGCAGTTCGGATGCTTTGTGCAGCTGGAAGGATTGAGGTAGTGACTGATGCTCTTTTTTCACACCAGTGAGGGGCAGAAGGTGATCACTGGAGATGTTCACTGCTGTGGTTAATGACACTAATCAAGTCAACTACACACAGTTCTTGGAAATTAGCTTCTTGGAAATGTTACAGAGCCATTTATTGTTTCCTCTGCCTCCAGGACATCTCCCCTTTGCTTGTTGAGGCAGAAAGAATTTGTCCCTCCCTCCCTGCACGTTGTCTTTTCTTTGGGAGGATGGCGATAATCGTATTTAGTGGTTTGATCACTTTCTTGGTACTTTCTTTTTTAAGACCATTTGCTTTTGTTCAGTTCCAGCTAGGGTAGAAATGGGCTGGGGCAAAGGTATTTTTAGACATGTTCCAGATATGTCTGCTTCTCCTTCAGAAAGCGGTGGGAAGGCCTGGTGCACATCTCTGAGCTCCGGCGGGAAGGTCGTGTGGCCAACGTGGCTGACGTGGTGAGCAAAGGCCAGAGGGTCAAGGTCAAAGTGCTGTCCTTCACTGGGACCAAGACCAGCCTGAGCATGAAGGTAGGTGAGGTGTCCAGCTTGTCCCCACATCTGATGGCCAGGGGAGCATAAGAAGACAGCCAGTGCACCGGCCCCTTTGTTCTTGTGCCTTAGGATGTGGATCAAGAGACTGGAGAAGATCTAAACCCAAACCGACGACGAAATCTTATTGGGGAGACAAATGAGGAGACCTCCATGCGGAATCCGGACAGACCCACCCACCTCTCCCTTGTCAGTGCCCCTGAAGTGGAGGACGACTCGCTGGAGCGCAAGCGCCTCACCCGCATCTCCGACCCGGAGAAGTGGGAGATCAAACAGGTAGGGGCCACCGGCTTTCATGGTCACACTGTCACCCAGCATGTGGCATGGGGGATGGGGTGCACGCCCTGAGCTCGGTGGCCTGGGATGACTTGTGGTCACTTCTTGCCTGTGTAATCCTTAGCCAGGTTAACGCTGCATCTTTGAGCCTCAGGGCCCTTGTCTGTAAAACAGAGTCTATGTTGCTGATGTGGGGATTGAGTTAATGGAGGTGGAACTCTTAGGTTAGTGCCTGGCATGCGGCCATTGCTGTGTAAGTGTTCATCATCGTTTTTGTCATTCTTTTTTACGTATTTTTTTTTTTTTGAGTTGGGGTCTCACTCCATCACCGCACCTCAGGTGATCCTTCTCCCTTAGCCTTCCAAGTAGCTGGAACTATAGGCACACGCTACCACACCCAGCTAATTTTTTTTTTTGAGTTGGAGTCTCACTCTGTTGCCCAGACTGGAGTGCAGCGGCACGCTCCCAGCCACTGCAGCCTTGACCTGCTAGGCTCCAGCAATCCTTCCCCTCAGCCTTCCTACAGGTGCACGCTACTACGCCCGGCTAATTTTTTATTTATTGTGGAGACAAGGTCTCGCCAAGTTGCCCAGGTGGGTTTTAAACCCGTGGGATCAGGCAATCCCCTCACCTAGGCCTCCCACAGTGTTGGGATTACAGGCTTGAGCTACCGCACCCGACCTTTTATATCATTCTTCAGTAAACATCAGAACCAACGAGTCAACACCACATAGTGCTAGGGCTACAAAGATGAGCATATCATGGTTCCTATGCTTGAGGAACTTAAAGTCCAGTAGAATAGACAGACCTAAACACTAACTGTGTAGGGTTACTTAATGCAGAAGAAAGGTACCAGAATGCTGTGCAAATAGAAGTGAGCAGGCAGCACTTTGGGGTTCACATCTTTGAGCCCATGCTTTAGCGCTATGTTGCAGAGTCCCCCAGGGACGGAATGTGTGGCATTTGAGACCCTGATGTCCTGGGTCAGAGGAGGAAAAAACCTGAGTTTCGGCTAGGTGCGGTGGCTCCCTTTGGGAGGCGGAGGCAAGAGGATTGCCTGTCCAGGGGTTCGAGACAAGCCTGGGCCAACTTGGGGAGAACTCGTCTCTGCAATAAGTCAAAAAATTAGCCAGGCATGGTGGTGCATGGCTATAGTTCCAGCTACTTGCAAGACTGAGGAGGTAGGATCACCTGAGCCCAGCAAGTTGAGGCTGTGGTGGCTGTGAGTGGCACAGTGCACTCCAACCTGGGCAACAGATTGAGACTCCTACTCAAAACAAAACAACAAAACAAAACAAAAACCTGGGTTTCCTACATGAAACCTCTGTAATTCAGTTTCCTAAAAATCAAGAGTTGTGATCCTAGCAGGTTACAAATACTGTCTTCTGTTCTTTGGCTAGATGATTGCTGCCAATGTCCTTTCCAAAGAAGAGTTTCCAGACTTTGATGAAGAGACTGGCATTCTCCCTAAGGTGGATGATGAAGAAGGTAACTGGTCACTTGGGTTGAGCAGGATAACGGATTGAAAGGGTCATTTTCAAGTTGAGCCCTTGCGCTGGGGCGTTTGCTTGTCATTTAGCCCGGTGACTGTCAATCATTTGTTCCTTGGGTCTCACCACTCATCTTAAGGGACAAGGGTCTCCGTGATGGAAATAAGAAGTTCATTTTTCTGCAAGTATTTAGATAGGTACTTACTGCTTATGATAAGTTTTTAGGATATAGAAAGTTATAATTGTATTTTGGGGAGTTAATTTGATCTCATATTCTCAATAGTTATTCTGAAAACCCAAAATTCACCTAGAGTACCTCTGAGTTACCCTGGAAATGAATTTCTTCTCCGCCATTTAATGTTTTTTGTGTTTTTTTTAAATTATGAAACCTTATAATAGAGCCTGTAGTAGTAAGTGAGCACTGGCGTGATCAGCACCCCCTTAGGTAGAATTGCCGCAGTACCTCTGAAGCCTCCACTCACCACCTCTGCCTAGGTCACCCCCCTTTCTTTAGGAGTAACCACTATCCGAAGTTCTGTGGTAATCATTCCCTTTTCTTTAGAGTTTTATCATCTACGTATCCATCACTAAGCATTTCATTGTTTAGTTAGTCTGTGTTTAACCTTGATTCATTTTGCTCTTTGTTTTTTTACCTATTGACATATTTATCCGTGTTGATATTTATAGTACTCTTTTACTCTTTTCCATTACTGTGGCATGTTTCCATATATAGATTGTTGATAGTTTGTCTGTTTTACTTTTGATGGACATACGGGTTGTTTTTTTTTTTTTGTTAACCTTTATGAGTAATACTATTGTGAAGCTCCTATATTATCTCTTAGTGCATAATCTCCTTTTTTTTCTCAATACATAAATTACTGGGTAGTGGGGGAAAAAAATGTGTGTGTTTAAGTTTGCCAGGTAGTTCCACATTGTTTTCTAAAGTTTCTACTAGTTTACACTTCTCCCTTAAAGGTGAATTTCTATTGCTCTACACCCTTGCCAACATTTTGGTGTTGCTAACTGTCCAACTAATTTTTTGAAAAATTTTTGACCAATGTATTATAGTTAAGAATTATTCTGTAATGAAGTTGAATGGCAAATGCCCTCATACAGTTTAGGATGTCAGAACAGCATTTTTCTACAGGCTTACCATCTTTTGAAAGTAACTGATCAGTTCTTGGGCTGGAGCACAGATGTCCTAGAAATGGCTGGGGGTTAGGGGAATAGACACCTGGGTTAGAGCTTTACTTGAATTACTGGCTTTTTTTTTTTTTTTGAGTTGGAGTCTCACTCTGTCGTCCAGGCTGGAGTGCAGTGGCATGTTCATGGCCACCCCAGTGTTGACCTGCTGGGCTCAGGCAATCCTTCCACCTCAGCCTTCCAAGTAGCCGGAACTATGGGCATGTGCTAACACACCCATCTAATTTTTTGATTTATTGTAGAGATGAGGTCTTGCCAAGTTGCCCAGGCTGGTCTCAAACCCATGGACTCAGGCTCTCCCCTCACCTCAGCCTCCCAAAGTGCTAGGATTACAGGTTTGAGCCACTGCGTCTGGCTGCCTTAGAAGCTATTTTTTTTTCTTTTTGAGTTGGAGTCTTACTCTGTCACCCAGAATGGAGTGCAGTGGCCGCTCCTGGCCACCGCAGCCTCAACCTGCTGGGCTCCGGCGATCCTTCCGTCTCAGCCTTCCAAGTAGCCAGAACTACAGGCGTGCGCTACCACGCCCAGCTGATTTTTTGATTTATTGTAGAGATGAGGTCTTGCTGCCCAGGTGGGTCTCGAACCTGCGGGCTCAGGCAGTCCCCTCACCTCAGCCTCCCAAAGGCACGGAATTACAGGCTGAGCCACCGAGCCCGGCAGAAGCTATTTTTTATTAAAAAAAAAAACAACTGCTGGTGACCATGGAAATTGTTTTGGTGAAAACAGGCGGTGGTTCAAGCCTATAATCCCAGCACTTAGGGGGGCCGAGACAAGAGGATTGCCTGAGCCGTGGTTTCGAGGTCAGCCTGGGCAACATGGTGAGACCTCGTCTCTACACTAAATCAAAAAACTAACCATGCGTGGTAGTGCATACCTGTAGTTCCGGCTACTTGGAAGGCTGAGGTGGGAGGATCACCTGAGCCCAGCAGGTCAGCGCTGGGGTGGCCATGAGTGTGCCACTTCACTTCAGCCTAGGTGACGGAGTGAGACTCAGATTCAAAAAAGAAAATGGTTGGTCAGTCGGGCATGATGGCTCTTGTCTGTCATCCCAGCACTTTGGGAGATGGAGGCGAGAGGATTGCCGGAGCCCAGGACTTCGAGACCAGCTTGGGCAACTTGGTGAGACCTCGTCTCTACACTAAATCAAAAAATTAGCCAGGCGTGGTGGTGTATGCCTATAGTTTTCAGCTACTTGGAAGGCTGAAGCGGCAGGATTGGCCCAGCAGGTCGAGGCTGCAGTGGCCATGAGCGTGCCACTTCACTCCAGTCTGGGCGACAGAGTGAGACTCTAACTCAAAAAAAAAGAAAGAAAGAAAATGGCTGGTCATTTCTCTTTTGTTCATGGCTAATTCTTTTTCTGGGGGGATTTAGATGAGGACCTTGAGATTGAACTGGTTGAGGAAGAGCCTCCATTCCTGAGAGGACACACCAAGCAGAGCATGGACATGAGCCCCATTAAAATCGTCAAGGTAAGAAGGACTGGAGTTTACCTGCACATGGCAGTGGACTTCCTTTTTTTAAAGTAACAGGAGTCAGGCTCGGTGGCTCAGCCTGTAATCCTGCGCTTTGGGAAACTGAGGTGAGTGAATTGCCTGAGCCTGCCTGGGCAACTTGGCGAGGCCTCATCTCTACAATAAATCAAAAAATCACCTGGGTATGGTAGTGCATGCCTGTAATTCCGGTTACTCGGAAGGCTGAGGTGGAAGGATCGCCGGAGCCCAGCAGGTCGAGGCTGCAGTGGCCGGGAGCTGCCACTGCACTCCAGTCTGGGCAACTGAGTGAGACTCCAACTCAAAAAATAAAAATAAAAAAAATAAAGTAACAGGTCAGGTTATTAGATCTACATGAACAGAACTTGGGCCACAGAAAGTAGTAGTATGTATTAGCCATGGTCTGGAATGTTTTTGTTTTAAATGAGGATTGGCTTGGCTTTGAGGCTTTTGCCTGTTTAATATTTTTTGTGCTCATTGAGTGTGTTTTGGGAGGAAGCAGAGATAGATGGGAGTGTCTGGTCTACCATCATAGCCTTTGCACCCAGGTTCCTTAAGACTTGAACTGTTATCTTGCAGCTCCAGATGCCATTGGAAGGGTTTACTTGGCCCCTTGGGACTGACCTCCATAGAAAGCGATACACTGGGCCAGCCTCGGTGGCTCAGCCTGTAATCCCAGCACTTTAGGAGGCCAAGGCAAGTGGATTGCCTAAGCCTGTGGGTTTGAGACCAGCCTGGGCAACTTGGTGAGACCTCATCTCTACGATAAGTAAAAAATCAGCCAGACGTGGTAGCTCATTCCTGTAGTTCTGGCTACTTGGAAGGCTGAGTCAAAAGGATCGCTGGAGCCCAGCAGATTGATGCTGGGGTGGCCATGAGTGTGCAACAGAGTGAGAATCCAACTCAAAAAAAAAAAAAAGAAATGATACACTGGGTGTTGTGGAGGGCAGAGCTGTGAGGAGAAGCCAAACCAGATAGTAGCAATCACATTTGAGGTATTGAAAAGGGTATCTTAAGGTCTCCCAGCTCCGCTGCCTACATCATGCTTGTAATTCGCCCATGTAATTCTTCTACAGTGCCTCCCCGTGTGATCATCTTATGGCTGTATGACATTGTTAGTGATGTAATTCACAAACTCTGAAGGAGTCATGGTCCATTCTTAGATGGATCTGATTGTTAGTTTTTTTTGGGTGGAGCTAAAATCTGTCTCCTGAGGTGTCTACATTGGCCTTCCTTTTAGTTCTTGGGATCATACAGAAAAATTCTTACCCTTTCTTATGTCCTTCATGCATTTAAAGGTAGCACCATTCCTGTTTCTCTTGGGAGCTAAATATCCCAGTTCCATCAATGATTTATTGTTGTCTTTGTTCATTTTATTGGAATATGCTGGTTTATCCATTTCGTTTTTTTTTTTTTTTTTTTTTGAGTTGGAGTCTCATTCTTTTGCCCAGGCTGAAGTACAGTGGCATGCTCATGGCTACCGCAGCCTTGACCTGCTGGACTCAGGTGATCCTTCTGCCTCAGCCTTCCAAGTAGCTGGAACTACAGGCATGTGCCACCACACCTGGCTAATTTTTGATTTATTGTAGAGATGAGGTCTCACTAAGTTGCTCCCGCGGGCTCAGGCAGTCCTCTCACCTTGGCCTCCCAAAGTGCTGGGATTAGGTGTGAGCCACCTTGCCCGACCTAGTTTATCCATTTCTTTCAGGAGGTCTGGAACATTGATAGGAGTTTTAGTCCAAGTGTGGTTGCACAATGCAGATTACAGTGTCTCCATCTTACTTCCTTGGTGCTTTTTCCTCTGTTGTTGTAGAACCCAGATGGCTCCCTCTCCCAAGCAGCGATGATGCAGAGTGCCTTGGCCAAAGAAAGGCGGGAGCTCAAGCAGGCCCAGCGGGAAGCTGAGATGGATTCTATTCCCATGGGGCTCAATAAACACTGGGTGGATCCTCTGCCTGATGGTAGGAACCTCAGAGGGGGCTCCTCTTAAAAAAAATCTGAGCCTTCAGATACATGGGGAGGGGGAACTGCTGGTACACACTGAAAACTTAGCCTTGGTTTTTCACTCAGAGCATGTTTGTTTGTTTAGTTTGTTTTGTTGTTGTTGTTGTTTTGAATTGGAGTCTCACTCTGTCGCCCAGTCTGGAGGACAGTGGCATGCTCATGGCCATCCCAGTGTCAACCTGCTGGGCTCTAGCAATCCTTCCGCCACAGCCTTCCAAGTAGCTGGAACCACAAGCGCGTGCTACCACACCCAGTTAACTTTTTATTGTAGAGATGAGGTCTCACCAAGTTGCCCAGGCTGGTCTCAAACCTGTGGGCTTAGGCAATCCACTCGCCTTGGCCTCCCAAAATGCTGGGATTACAGGCTGAGCCACTGTGCCTGAACTGGTTCGTTTTTTTAAAAGATGAAGTGTTTGTTCCCCAGGCTGGAGTTCAGTGGTATAATCATAGCTCCCTGCAGCCTTGAACTCCTGTGCTCAAGCGATCTTCTCTTCTCAGCCTCCCTAGTGATTGGGATTATAGGCAGGAGCCACTGTGCTTAGCTGTTTTGTTTTTTAAACATGTATTTAAAACCAAAAAAAGGTTTCAGTAACCCTGGTCGTATCAATAGACTGGCTGAGTTTTCCTTTTTTTGTTGTTTTATTTCCTTAGAACTGAAGCTTGAGAAAATTTTTCTTCTGAATCACTTAAAAATTTTTATTCTAAAGATAATACAGCTTTGAAACTTTCTTTTTTATGTAATTCTCTGTTCAGTAACTATTAATTAGCCACTGTATGTAGTCATAACAAGTATTTATTAATTTGAATTTGGCAACTGGAGATACAGATGTGAATGAAACTTGTTTGAGGCTTACAGCCTAGTAGGAAGATGGATAGTAACCAAATAATTACCAAATAACTGGTTAATTAAATTGTGATTAGGCCAGGTTCAGTTGCTCAGCCTGTAATCCCAGCACTTTGGGAGGCCGAGGCAAGTAGATTGCCCGAGCCCTTGGGTTCGAGACCCACCCGGGCAACTTGGCGAGACCTTGTCTCGTCTCTACAGTAAATCAAAAATTAACCGGGTGTGGTAGTACATGCCTGTAGTTCTGGCTACTTGGAAGGCTGAGGCGGAAGGATCGCCAGAGCCCAGCAGGTCAAGGCTGCAGTGGCTGGGAGCGTGCCACTACCCTCCAGTCTGGGTGATAGTGAGACTCCAACTCAAAAAAAAAAAATTGTGATCTGGGCAACGCCTTCAGGTTCCCTCCCACTATGGGAACTTTTCTGTTTTCTCAGTAAGTTCTATTTTCACACACACACACACACACACACACACACACACACACACACACAAATTGTGATCAGTGCTATATGAAGAAGTACAGGTGATGTAATTGAATGTGGTGGTCACTTTCCTAGGGAAATTGAGACCCAAAGGGTACATGGGACTCAGTATATCAAGAAGGGATGAGAGGGGGTTTGGCGAGTGTGTCCCAGACTGAGGGGTGGGAAAGAGAACCTGAAAGGAGGCCCTTGTGCTGGAGGACAGAGCATGACATGCAGGGTAGTGGGGGATGAGGCCAGAGCAGCAAGCCAGGACTCTGAAGATGGCGTAAGGGATCCGGGCTCAATTCTAAGTGCACTGGAAAAGGTTGAAAGGTTCTAACTGGGACTGGCATGATCAGGGTTGCATTTCCAGAGGGTGATTTGGGGTGCTCTGCAGACCAGTTTGGAGGGGCAAGAGTAGACACGTGAGATGAATTAGCAGGCTTTTATAACAATTGAGAGGAGAGAGAATGGCTGCTTGAACACAGAGGGAGAAAGGGGAACATGCTAGAGGAGCGTGATTTGTTGGATGTGGGGGTAGGGAGCGGGCGTGGGCACAGTGACCCCCCCAGGCTTCTGGGGCGAGCAAGGGTGAGTGATGGGAAAGCCAGAGAAGTGGGTTTGTGGGGAAAGATTGTGAATTCAGTTCTGCCCTTGGATATGAGGCGACTGGAGGACATCTCAGGTGAGCTGTCAAGTATGCCATTGAGTCTAAGAGCTCAGAAGAGAGGTCTGGGTGGAGACAGAATTTGGGGAATTGTGTTAGTTTGGGTATCAGTTTGGCTGCATGTAGATTAACAGTGGAAGGCTGGAAATATGCATTCATAGTTTATAAAAAGAATCCTTCGTTTTTTCAGAATAAGCTCCATTCCCTCCCCCCCTTTGGTGAAAGCCTCCCCATGACCCTCTTTTGGCCTCTGCCAAAGTTCACTTCCTTGGTTAGTAGGCTTATATTTTCATGGCTTCCTTTTGCCATCAAATTTGTAAAATATTTGCATATTCTAGAGAGCCATGAAAATCCTGCCATTTTTTTGCTCCCACTCAAGCCACAGTTCCAGGGTTAACCCTGACAACGTAAGCTAAGTGAAAGAAACCAGATGCAGCAGACCACAGATTGTGTGAGGCACCCAGAACAGGTAAACCCTAGAGATGGAAAGGAGATGAGTAGTTGCTGGGCAGGAAAAGGAGGAATGGGGAGAGGCTGCTGGTGGGTACAGGGCTTCTTTCTGGGATGATGAAAATATTCTAAGATAGTAGCCTGGGCAACAGAGTGAGACCCCATCTCTACAAAATAAAAAATTGGCCAGACATGGTGACATGTACCTGTATTCCCAGCCTTTTGGGAGGCTGAGATGGAAGGATTGCTTGAGTCCAGGAGTTAGAGGCTGCAGTGGGCCATGATTGTGCCACTGCTCTCCAACCTGGATGGCAGAGTGAAACCCCAGTTCAAAAAAAAAAAAAAAATAGTGGTGATGGTTGCATAACTTTGTGAATATACAGTAAACCACCAAGTTGGACACACTTGAAAAAGATGACATGGTTTGAGAATTACATCTCAATATAGCAGTTACTAAAACAATAGAATTCAGCTAGGCACAGTGGCTCACGCCTGTAATCCCAGCACTGCAGGAGGCAGAGGTGAGAGGATTTCTTGAGTCCAGGGGTTCAAGACCAACCTGGGCAACTTGACAGGACCTTGTCTTTACGATAATTGAAAAAATTACCTGAGTGTGGTGGCACGTGCCTGTAGTTCCAGGCACTTGTAAGGCTGAAGTGGAAGTATTTCCTGAGCCCAGCAGGTTGAGGCTGCAGTGGCCATGAGCATGCCACTGCACTCCATCCTGGGCAACAGAGTGAGACTCCAACTCAAAAAAAAAAAAAAAAAGTAGAATTCTAGGATCTGTCTTCACTTCTGGCAGATAACCTTTTCTCTGTTAGGAGACATCCCAGATGTGTAGCACCACTCATTACTGTCTCTTTCCCTCCGCCTTTTCTGTATTCTTTTCTTCGCATTAATTTGTTTCTCTGAGTACCTTTTTTTGGCGAGCAAAACAAAGAGTTTATTAAGGCTAAAGCACACAGAGGGAAAGGGAGTGAGTGCTGGCAGTGCCAAGAAGAGAGCTGACCCGAGGAAGGAAGGCACACACTCCAGGGGCAGAGTGCGGTCAGTCTGAGTGCGAACTGCCTGCTTCTCTGAGAACCCTCGGTCAAGGATCAGGCTGAACTGGCGTGTGCAGTGCTCACCTGCCATTTTGGTTTTGGTGCCTCTTGAGTCAGGCTGAGGACACACTAAGTTGCCTGTCTCCCTTTCCAGCGGAAGGCAGGCAGATTGCTGCCAACATGAGGGGCATTGGGATGATGCCCAATGATATACCTGAGTGGAAGAAGCATGCCTTTGGGGGAAACAAAGCCTCTTATGGAAAAAAGACCCAGATGTCAATCATTGAGCAGAGGGAGAGCCTACCCATCTACAAACTGAAGGAGCAGCTGGTCCAGGTGAGAAGCCCTTTTGCAATGTATTGGTGGGGAGGTAGGAATGTTTTCTAAAAGAGGGATGACATTTCAAAATTGAAATTAGTGGCAGAGGCATGTGCCTGTTTCAAGTGGCTCTTCCAAAAGGGATAAGAAAAAAATGGAAAACATTTCCAAGTACTTTTTAAAAAATGTGTGTTAGTCTACATATTTTTTCCCTTGGGTACCCTAGAGCAAGCTCAGGTGGGCAGAATATTGTGTCGCGTGGACCGGCAACTCTTGTTAGTAATCTAAAATGGGGATACCTGGCCAGTGAACCCCTGCAGGCAAGAACTTCATGTCAGGTACTTATTTCCATCTTCTGTTGTGCTGATTTTAAGACCAACAAACCTTCCTAGAGGTAACCAGGTTTATGAGTTTCCTGTGAATCCTTTCAGCAATATTTTAAGTGTATATAAACAAGTACAAATGTGTATGCACGCACATATTTTGTATGTGTGCCATGTGTGCTTATCGATGGCATCAGATAATGTACACTGTTCTGCATCTTGCCTTTTCCACTTAATGATATATCTCAGAAATTGTTTCTTTTTTTTTTTTTTTG